ATACACCATCTCATTAACAATGACTGAGTAGTGACTGGTTTGTAAGCAACCCTTAATCCATTTACACCACAATTCTTCAAAGCCACACCTCCTCATAATGTCCATTAAGAAGTTCCAATCCACCAATCGTAGGCTTTGGGCCCCTATTGTTCTAATATGTTTTTTTCTTTCTTTTCTGCCTACTAATTAGGGGCAGATTTCTCTTTGTAATCCTTCTTTAAAACCCTACTATAAATAATAAGATTAGGGGCTATGAGAGTGTGTTGCCGTCCCATTTCTCTCAACCTTCTTCTCTTCTCTTCTTCCTCTCTAATCTGAACACTTAACATGGTATCAAAGCTTTGATACTGGTTTTCTCCTGGTTTAAACTTAAAACAACATATATTTATTCCCTCTCTACTAGACCCAGGAAGACCCAAAACAGGTTTGGGTATGCCCACCATAAAAAGACAGAGTTGGAGTAATCCATGGACTACTAGAGTGGCCTGTAGGAAACAGGTCAAGTTTGTGGATTGCAAAAATGTGCAATTCAAAGGATTTTTTAGTCCATACGAGTGGAAGATTAGGGTTTCAACATAAAAGACTGTTGAATTGAAGTTGATAGGTGGCTTTTGGTGGGAAGGGATAGTGTTGGTTTCTGTTACAGATGAGTTTTGGAAGATCAAATGTCATTCTCAAACTCAAGTGAAGTAACCACAAAGGAAAATAGACCAAGTGAGGTTTTTTTTAGCATGAGAAACCCTAGTTTCTCTAGTCTTCAGATTACTAATGTGAAACTAGATAAATATAACTTGAAAGAGTGGTTTATTTCTTCCAAACTCCATATTACAAGTTAAGGTTTGCTGGGATATGGGAATTGGACTAAGAAAAATGCACTAGTTATGTCATGGCTACTGTCTTCCATGACCCCAAAGATTACTAGGACAGTTCAACACTATTCTACGGCTCATAAAATTTGGAAGAAGCTATCTAATACTTATGGACAATGAAAGAACAATGTAAGAGTCTATAGGCTCACACAAGATATTGCAATTTTGAATCAAAGAAACTTGTTGGTTGCTACTTTCTTTGCTACCCTTGAAGGGCTTTGGGAAGAACTTGATCATCATCTCATCATTGAYTGATAAAATTCTGAAGATAAGGAAATGCATGAAAAACAACTTGAAGAGGGGAGGGTGTTTAAATTTCTTGCTGGATTAGACTCTTCATATGATGGTATTCGACCTCAGATTTTGGGAAGAGATGAACTCAGCTCTTTCTTCAGTTGTTAAAAGAAGTGGAAAAGGGGGAGACAAGAAAAATTTTAAATGTTCTCACTCTGGTGGGGAGAAACACACCAAAGATACATGTTGGATTCGGCACCCCCATCTAAAGCTAGTATAGCTTTAAGGAAGGATAAGAAGCCATGTAAAGGTCTAGGATCCCATTGACATGTAGCAAGCTCAAATATGGTGGATGGAATGCATACAATTGGAACCACTAGTGTTTCTTTTGGTATGGGACAGACCACTACTCCTTCAAATAGCTTCCTTGAGTTCATGGCTAAAGAGGTAGATATCCTAAATCGGGCTATGGATTGATTGAAGCAATTCTCAATTGCTTCATCCTCTTTTGCCAAGATAGGTATTGGTTCTGCACTTAGTGCCATTCAGTCTTGTTCCCCAAATTCTTGGATCATTGACTTAGGAGCTTATTAACACATGACCAATAATTCTTCTTTATTTTCATCTTATCATCTAGTTTCCGAGTAAGACAATAAGGGTGGCTGATGTCTTTATCTCTCTTATTCATAGGAAAGGGGATATCCAACTTGGAAAAGCTCTTTCTCTTATATCTCTACCTTGCATGTTCCTAATTTTATCGCCAACTTGCTTTCAATTTCTAGAATAACAAAAACTATGGATTGTATTGCAACGTTTCCTACTCATTGTGTTTTTCAAGACCGGTTGACAAAGCAAACAATTGGGAGTGGTTGGGAGTCTGGAGGTCTCTACTATATTAATGAAGACATCAATTCAGCTCTTAAGGCATCGTCAATTAATATCATTGAATGCAAGGAGTTTAGTACTTTGGTTTATCTTTGACATGCTAGATTGGGTCATTTGTCTTTTTCCTTGTTAAGAGTCTAATTTCCATAGTTGTTTGAAAAGGTATCATTTTTTTATCAATAATAAAGAACTTTCATTAGAAAAATTAGGTACAAAAGAGATAAGTTGTCTTAGCTTCCCCAACAGAGGATAGAGCCCCCAAAAATAAAAGAAATAGAATTACTAGTGAGCCCAGACTATAAATTCCCTAGTCACCCCTTGCTTGGCTAACCCATATGCAAACAAGTTAGCAGATCTCTTCACCCAATTGTACTTTATTTCCATGTCCTTAGCCAGCCACTTAAATTTTTTCTTTTCATTGTTGTAGTTCCACAAAATAGTCTTATCTTCTTTTAACCATCCTACTTCCACCTCCAAATCATCTTTAACTACAATCCTCCCTATATTCGTTTCTTTTGCCCGTTGGATTCCTTCCAAAGCACAAAAATCTCGGCCCTAAGGGAATCACCTTCACCAATTGGTCTAAGAAAAAGGCTGAAACAATCCCATCCTGATTCTTGAACACTTCCCCAATACCAGAGTGCCATGGGTTCCCTTTGCTATTGCCATCAAAGTTCTACTTTATAAATCTAGTGGGGGGAGGAATCCAAGGACTTAAGCCCTTTTTAACATGGGCAAAGCTAGAGATCTCTTTCCAGTTTCTCAATAGGTCATCCAAAGTAAAACCTGTGGAAAAAATCCAAGGATTTCAACCAGTGTGCCACCCTTATGTGGGTTAACTCTATTATGTTTTCAATGCTCTTCTCCTTTTCTAAGAAGATTCTTGAGTTTCTCTCTTTCCAAAAGGACCAACAAACAACAACCCTTAAGCACCTCCACATAATCCCTCATCTTTTCAAAGGCTACCTGAAAAAGGAGGATGAAAATAAACTTTGCACATTCAATGGGGGATTCTACCTACACCCCAAAAGGGAGAAGACCCAATCCCAAATAGTTTTAGCAAAATGGCAATAAACTAAAAGGTGATAATCAGTTTTCCCACCAAATTTGTAGAGAATACACTAGTGTTTAAGTAAATCACCAGTGTTGATCCTTTCTAGGAAAGTTTCCCAACAAAAACTCCCAACCCTAGGAGGAATTAGCTTCCACCAAATCTCTTTAATAGGGAAGGATAAGCCAATGGGGTTGGGTGGTTGAGTTAAGATTTTAAAGAATGATGCACAAGAGAATGAGCCCTAGGGGGAAGGAGTCCAAATTATGGTATCTTCCTTTGCAGGGCCCAAGAACCCATTTCCAATAATACCTAGAAGAGTTAAGGTGTTACCCAATTCTATATACCTAACAACCCTTCCCAAACCTAAATTCCACCCAATCCTAGGGTTTGAGTTTAAATCAGCTCAATTTTTAGGTCAGAGAGAGAGCATACAAGGAAGGAAATTGGTCCTTCAAAGGGGAATTCCTCAACCAGGTTTTTTTCCCAGAATTATATGAAGCTGCTTGAGTTTAAATTATACTTTATCAAAGGGGAGAAAGTTGGTAACAAATCATGGATGGCTTTCCAAGGTAAAGCACTTGTCCTTACCAGAATTCCAGGATCCCATCCGTTGTTCTCAAGCCCGTGAATGCTAGCCACTATTTGAAAATGTGTCATTTGAAAGTCTTTTTTGTGATGTGTGTCAAATGTCTAAACATTGTATGAMAAATTATCCAAGTTCTAGTAATRAAGTCAATGCTCCTTTTGATTTAATTCATTTTGATGTTTAGTGTCCTTTTTCCATTATTTCCATGGATGGCTATCGGTATTTCATTAGTTTTATTGATCATTTTACAAGATGCATTTGGATTTATTTGATGAAAGAACAAGAATACATATAATCTTTATGGTTTTTTGCAAGATGATTGAGACAAAGTTTGGAAAGAAAGTTAAACAGTTCAATTCAGATAATGCAACTGAATATTTCAAGAGTTTTCTAAATGTGTTCTTTGAAGATGAAGGGACCTTACATTAGCCGGCATGCACTTACACACCACAACAGAATGGAGTTATAGAAAGGAAGAATAGACATTTACTTTAGACCACTCGTGCTCTAATGTTTCAAAGCAAGGTCTCAATGGAGTTTTGGTCTCATGCTATTCTGACAGCTTCTTATCTCATCAATCGAATGCCATCCAAGGTTTTGGGAATGTGAACCCCTTTTATGTCTTCCGTCCAGAGCATGTTGTGTTCTCTTTGCCTCCTAAGGTAGAGTTGTGTATGTTTTATTCATGTTAATGATCCTAAAAGGAAAAAGCCGCATCCAAAAGCAATTCATGGGATGTTCTTGGGTTATTCTCCTACACAAAAATGATATAAATATCTTGATTCAGCTATTGGAAGGAGGTTCATCACCAAGAATGTCATCTTTTGTAAGTCACAATCTTTCTTTGAGCCTCCTTAAAAGGAGGTCCATCCACACCGCACAGCGTTCGAAGACTTCACACGTCCGGCACACCGCAGCGAGCGATCCTATTGCGCGTTCGAACACTTCACACGTTCGGGGTCGTTCCTATGTGGGATACCGCAATGGCATTACCGTAATACTTTCAAACACTTTGCACGTTCGAGGGCTTTCCTATGTGGGATACCTTTTCTCGCAAGCAGGAGCGACGAAAAGATGCCGAGCCTCTGAGCGATGGTCGTACCGGCATTTTGTTGTTAGTATATATAAGATATAAGATAAGATATAAGATATAAGATATAAGATAAGAATATATAAGATTCGGATTGCCTATATCCGATCCGATCCGTTTGCAGCGCTATTTCTATCTCGGCTACGTAGATTCAGGCATGCAAAATGGACGGTTATTATGGTCCGAAGAACAAAAGAGATTAGTGGTGTGCAGTTTTCTGCAATACACATCACCATACGTTATCCTTCTAGGGTTTTTCAATTTCCCTGCCTTTGTCTCTGCTTTAAAGCCGTCCTAACAGCGGGAGGTTGCTATTTCGTGCCCTCTCTTTCCCTCGTATTTGCTCTCTCTTTCTCGGAGAAGAGAAAGGAGTGTAGAGGAAAGCCTAGCAATGGTGAGTGAACTCGTCTCTTTTTTTATGCCCGGTTTGAACGATGAATATGAGGTTTTCTATCTTGGTTCATCTATGGATTCTTTCTGTAACATTGTTTGTTTTCGGTTTGATTGTTACTTGCAGTCTCTTGTTGCGAACGAAGACTTCCAACACATTCTCCGTGTTCTGAACACGAACGTCGATGGAAAACAGAAGATCATGTTTGCCCTGACTTCCATCAAGGGTATTGGTCGCCGTTTCGCCAACATCGTCTGCAAGAAAGCTGACGTCGACATGAACAAGAGGTAATTCTGTTTTTGCGTGTTAATCTTCCGTCATTAGGGCGTTTAGTATTAATGTATTAGGAGATATGCGAATTTCAGGTTTTAGTGTTAATAACTTTGAATTAAGACTATTGAAGTTGGTTTCGATTGATTAGGTGTTGAAGTTACTGTTTGTCTTTCAGTAGGCTTATTAGTTCTATTGGAGACTGGGAGTATAATTAAGAGCTTGAAGAGAATTCGACTGATTACTGCTTTTTTACAATGGCTTTGTTCGTTCTATGGGAACTGTTTTGCTTGTTTGGAAAGATGATTTAAAATTAAATTGCTGTTTGTGACCGATTAAATGCATAAATATGATGGCATTATTAAATTGTGAAAACTCACATTTTCTGTTTTTCTTGTATTGTGTTAATGGGGTTCATTTAGCCATGTTTGTCTAATATTTACTTGGGTTTTTTTTGTTCTGTTCACTGTGTTTCCAACTCTTTTTTTTTAAATTATTGTATTTGGTCTTGTAGAGCTGGTGAACTCACAGCTGCTGAGCTCGAGAACCTCATGGTGATTGTGGCAAATCCACGCCAGTTCAAGATCCCTGATTGGTTTTTGAACAGGAAGAAGGACTATAAGGATGGTAGGTATTCCCAGGTTGTTTCCAACGCTTTGGACATGAAGCTGAGGGATGATCTTGAGCGTTTGAAGAAGATCAGGTTTGTTTGCAAACGATTACACCGAATTAGATTGCCACTTCCCTTATATATTTTATTTTAGTACATCGTTTATTATTTCACTTTCTTGTTCAAACACTTGTATTATGTTCTTTAGATCTTTATATTTGATATTTTGATACTCAATACACATATTTGCAAAGCATATATTTATTGGCTCATTGATCATCAATTCCAATTATATCACCACCATTCTGACGCTTAGGTTCGAGCTATTAAGCTTGAGGTTTCTGAGTTTCACAGGGAAATACATTCTTTGGTTGGATTACAAGTTAATAGAGTTTGCTTGCCTGGAATGGGGTAAATGAATAGAGGATGGGTCCATTTGATGTTGCCAAGTTGAGTGGAGCTGCCATGTCTTGGTGGTTCTGTTTCCATGGCAACCATGGGCGTACTGACCAAAGACAACTTAAGACTTGGGATGAGATGAGGACTCTGTTGCAGAACCAATTCTTACTAGTTGACCATTAGCTAAGGTTCTACATCCTTTTCCAACAACTTCACAACAAGACAAGCGTGTTTATTAGGACAAATAAAACTTGTCTGTAGCTATGTAGTTTTGGCCTAGGTTGATCGTGCCCACTTGCTTGCTGGAAGGGTCTCTTGTTGGTTGTAGCAGAGGCATGGGGGTCAAATCCTGCGTTCAACAGGTTTGTGGGGACCTTGGGGTTTCAGGGGGGATATCCCCTTTGTTTAGCCAATTTGCCTACTAAAAAGAAAAGTAGTTTTGCCTAGGTCTTTGTTTTTTTCCTTTTAAAACATTTCATATATGACCATGGTCCTTTTCACTCTTACCTTTACTATATTTCATTTCTTGTATGATATATAATCATCATTTCTCAATGACAAATTCACCCGGTTGACCAAATGTTGCTGAGATTTTTGCAGCTATTATTTCTTAGCTGCTATTGTTAAGCAGCTAGTTTTAAGCTTAAGTCCTCTTGAACGGGCCCTTATTTTTTACATTCTATCTTTATTTTTAGACAAAATAACACTTAAACTTAGGCTGTGTAACCTGTGTTGGTTTGATATAAAATAATAGAGAATCAGAAAGTTGAGGGGATGTTCTTTAAGGAATTTTATAAAGTAGAGACCAGTTACACTTTGGAAATAAAAGTTGGTACTGTATATAGATAAAGTGCATGTTCAAGTCTTGGCTTTAATGCAAGCATTGGGTTCACTATCATTTGATATACATTTTCAACAGGTCTTGGGATCCTTTTTCTGTATATATAAAATGGAAAAAATTCATCCAACTGCAGCCTTACATCTTTATCTCATTTTGCCTTGATGTTTTTACTTGGTAGGTTTTGTTAGAATTGTTTAAATTATATGGAATTGGAATTGGTCTGCACTTAGTAGGTTTCGTCGTTTCGGTTCTAGTTGTAAATATAAGGTAACATGATTATTGATTCTGAATGGGACAGGAACCACCGTGGTCTCCGGCACTACTGGGGTCTTCGTGTTCGTGGGCAGCATACTAAGACCACTGGCCGCAGGGGGAAGACTGTTGGAGTCTCCAAAAAGCGATGAATTGCCTCCCTCGTTGGGCATTTACTGTTTTGGAGTTTCTTTTATTGCAAATTTTGTTTGTTTGCTTTTTGAGTTGTCTTCTCCCGTGATTTTCATGTCAGTTCACTTGTGGGTCTGATGAATTCATGGATGTTTTTAGATTGTCTTTTTATACATTTCTTATTTCTTATACTATGTCACCTATCGTCCTCCTGAACATTTATTTACACATCGTTTCTCCTTTGAGAACCACCTCAAATAGGTCGATTTCTTTCTTTATTCGGTAATCGGTGGTTGAGCATTGTTGTAGAATTGCTTTGATCTTGAATAATTTATACTTGAGATGGTTGGTCCCTCGGTGATGAAAGAATGTCATTCAAAAAAAAAAAGAAAGAAAACAGTGAAATAAATTGAGCAGAGGGTATTGTGATTTTAAGTGAAAATATCATGAGGTTTTGTATAAAAACAACCTAGTAATAGCATGGATTACTAATTCCAAATTTCCAATGCAAATGACTCCAGGAGGCAAGGTTCAAAGTATGGTTAAATAAATAAATAAATAAATATCAAAATGCTCGACCCCTACCGGCGGCCTATTTTGAACCTTGCTTCTAAATTAACAAACTCTTAACTCCCCCTTCTTGTTTTTAATTATAATTCCAGCGCCTGAATTTCTACCCTTTGTTGCTCTGGCAGATGCGACATTATATCCCTGTGATGCAACTGGGGTTGGGTTAAGAGTTTGTTAATTTTTCAATGGGCCATACTCTTAGCTTGAATTCAACCGAATAAATTGAAATTTTCAAATACAAAATAAAAAACTAAGAATCAAACCAAAACCAAAATTTTTGGATTGATTTTTGATTATTTCGTTTAAAATTAAATTTCAATAATATATAATTTATAATATATTATATATTATAATATTATAACATATATTATATATGATGATATATATTACGGGAAAATTTATGATGCAGAAAAGATATGATATGAAAAGAGTTATCACCAATCAAAACCCACCCATGAATTTTGATAAATAATAATTTATTAGTTACCATTTTTATGATTCCAGTTGGTTAGTCGTTTTTCAATATATTATATTTTATATATAACAAATTTGGTTAATTTGGTTTTTTTAATTAACTGACTTTCTAATTTTAAAAATTTGAAATCGGAAAATATTAAAAAACTGAATTAAAAACAATTCAAATCCTACCTTCTACGAATACAAGATTCAAAATAGCTTAAGTCCCACACAACCAACTATAGCTGTTAGCCTGTTACAAGTCTACAATCCGTTTGATAGGCAGAAGTAATAGCTATGGGTCTGGACCTTTTCCGAGTTCATTCGAACACGCTATTACCCAAGTAAGCCATTGTTTCCTTTTACCAACAATTTCATTCGGATCATTCAAAATGGGCACCAACTACAATACAGAAGGATGCCAAAAAAAATGTACAATATATGATAAGGGGTGATTTGGCCCGACCTTATAATTGAGTGACACATGTACGTGATTCGACATAAACGATAGCTTGATATGAGCAGATCGGCATATAGACATGGCTCAACACAGGTGACAACTCAGCAAGTATCAGCTAGTTACAGAACAAGCTCGAATACACTAATGTCCCGAGCTAAAGGTACTTCGGGTTGAGTCCATCCCAGTTCGTGAACCAAAACAACAGCACTAAGTTCTCAACAATCCGAACCCAAGCAAGTGGAACCTCAAAGACGACTTGCCTCGGGCAGAATCACCTCAGCACGCCACCAGTGACTCGTCACGGATAGCTCGCCACCAAGCAGCTCGCTACAGAGTTGCTCATAGGTAGCCCGGCGTCTTGCGAGAAGCTTCCTACCTGATAGGACCGTACCTGCCAACCCTGAAGACTGCACCCATGTCCCTTGCCTTGCGGCACAGTATCTGCCAACTCTGAGGACTGCACTCACGTCTCTCGCCTGGCAGCGTCGTGCCTGCCAAACCCTGGAGGTTGTCTCCTGCTTGGCGGGACCGTACCCTACAACGGTCGCATTAGTTGAGGAACTCATCCGTCACAGATACTTAAAAAATTTTGTACAAAAAGGTAATAAAAATCAGACAGATCGACAAGGGGAGTAGAGGAGAGATGCTCCCGAGTCCAGTAACAGGCAAAATGAGCAGGGACAACCGCCCAAGGAAAAACCAGTCCGCGGAGTGATCAACACGATTACCGGCGGGTCCATCGTCGCGAGCTACACCTCAGCAACAGGGAAGACCTCGGTCCGCGAACTGGATCATGAAAGACAGAACCCGCCGAAACGCCCACAGCTCACGGGCCCCATATCTTTTACCGAGGACGATGCGCGAGGAATCCAGTATCCCCATGATGACGTGCTGGTCATAAAGATGAAGATCAGCGACTTTGAAGACAGACGCGTCTTGGTGGATTCAGGAAGTTCGGCCGACATCTTGTTTAGGAGCACCTTCGACAAGCTGCAGCTCTGGGAGAGCGACCTTGAGCCCGCAAGTACTCCTCTAGTGGGCTTTAGTGGAGAAGAAGTTAGGCCCCTTGGCCGGATCTCGTTGCCTGTAGAGGTCGGAACGTTGGTACAGCATTGCGAGGTTTGAACACGCCTTCCTAGTAGTTGCAACGCCTTCCCCGTACAATGCCATTATAGGACGGCCCATCACCCGGAACGCTTGAGGATAGTCGACGAGGAGGTCGGGAAACTTCTCGCAGCCGATTTCATTAGGGAGGTCCATTACCTGAGCAGGGTAGCTAACCCCGTTCTGGTAAAGAAGGCCAACGGTAAATGGTGCATGTGCGTCGACTATACCGACCTGAATCGGGCTTGCCTAAAGGATTGTTTTCCGCTCCCCAAGATCGACCGTCTAGTGGACGCGACCTCAGAGCACGAGTTGCTGAGTTTCCTGCATGAATACTCGGGCTACAACCAAATCAAGATGGACCCCGCTGATGAAGAGAAAACGACCTTCATTACCGAACTGGGCCTGTATTGTTATAAGGTCATGCCCTTTGGATTGAAAAATGCCGGTGCAACCTACCAAAGACTTGTGAACCGAATTTTTGAGCCGTTGATCGGCGGCAAGGTTGAATGCTATGTAGACGGCATGGTCGTCAAAACCCAATTCTCGAACTGTTTAATAAGTGACTTGCAATGTGTGTTTGAAATCCTGTGCAAGTATAATATGAAGCTAAACCCTAACAAATGTGTCTTTGGTGTCACCTCGGGAAAATTTCTGGGTTACATAGTTAGCCAATGCAGCATCGAAGCTAACCCTAAAATATAAAGGCTATCTTGGACATGAAGTCCCCTCACAAGATAAAAGAGGTTCAGAGGTTGAACGGCCGTATGGCTGCCCTAAGTCGCTTCATGTCCAGATCAGCAGATCGTTGCCTACCTTTTTTTCAAGGCAATTAAGAAAAACAAAGACTTTGAATGGACTGAAGAATGCCAGTTTGCCTTCGACGAACTGAACAAATACCTAACTAGCATCCCTATTTTGACCCGACCCGAGGAGGGTGATGTTTTGAAGTTGTACCTCTCCGCGAGCGATGAGGTGGTCAGCTTGGTACTAATAAAGGAAGTAGATCGGGTCCAAGGACCTATCTACTATGTGAGCAAAGTTTTGTAGGGTGCCGAAACTAGATACCCAGAGATCGAGAAGTTGGCGTATGCGCTGATCACAGCAACTCGGAAGCTCCAACCATACTTTCAAGCCCACACAGTCATCGTTCTTACCAACCAACCCCTGAGGCAAGTCCTACTCAAGCCCAAGGTATTTGGAAGACTGACTAAGTGGGTTATAGAGCTCAGCATGTACGACATCTGGTACGAGCCCTGAACAGCAATTAAGGCCCAATCCTTGGCCGACTTCGTGGCAGAGTGCACTTTCAACACTACAACCTCCGAATTAATAGAGATCAAGCACGCAAAGGAAGCCTCAACCAGTGTGGAACCAGTCCCGATTAGAACGAAGTCAACCTGGGATGAGGAACCCTGAATCCTTCACGTAGACGATTCGTCAAATCAACAAGGAAGCGGAGCCGGAGTCATCCTGTACGGGCCAGGCGGAGCGAAACTAGAATACGCACTCCTGTTCGAGTTCGCAGCATCCAACAACGAGGCGGAATACGAAGCAGTGATAGTTGGACTCATGATAGCAAACGAAGTACAAGCGAAGCACCTCGTCATTTGCAGCAACTCCCAGCTCGTAGTCAACCAGGTAACCGGCGATTACGAAGTTCGCGACCCCACCATGGCCGCCTATCTAGCCAAGGTCAGGGAAGTTCTACGCGGCTTCCAATTGTACTTCATCAAGAAATTCCAAGATCTGAGAACGCTGAGGCCGATGCATTATCCCGGTTAGCCAGAACGAGCAACAACTCCATGAGGGTCGTGTTTATAGAGAACCTGCCTCGGCCTAGCATTCTCGGGGGGCAGAAGAGGTGGCTTCTGTTACACAAGCAAAGCCAAGCTGGATTGACCCGCTCGCGAGCTACCTACTTCACGGGACCCTCCCCGCAGATCGCAACGCAGCCAGACGGGTAGAGCGACAGGCAGCCAAGTACGTTATTATAGATGGACGACTTTACTGAATATCCTACACGCTCCCCTACTTGCACTGCTTACAACCCTCAGAGGTCGAGCTCATCCTCCGCGACACTCATGAAGGGTTGTGCGGTGGACAGTTGGGGGGCAGGGCCCTTGCCCAGAAAGCGTTACAACAAGGATATTACTGGCCCACGATGAAAGCAGATGTGCTCAAGCTCATCAAGAAATGTGATAAATGCCAGAGGCACGCCAATATCCATCATCAACCCATTGCCGACCTGAAGTAACTCACCAGCCCATGGCCCTTCGCATAGTGGGGAATTGACATTCTTGGACCATTCCCACCAACGACGGGACAGAGGAAATTCCTAGTGGTAGCAGTGGATTACTTCACAAAATGGGTAGAGGCGAAACCCCTAGCGACAATCACAGCTCGAACCGTACAAAACTTTTTCTAGAAGAACGTAGTATGCCGCTTTTGACTACCCCAACTACTTATCTCTGACAATGGCAAACAGTTCGAAGATATCAAGTTTCAAGACTAGTGTGCCGGGATGGGGATACAACAGAACTTTACTTCGATGGCACACCCTCAAGCAAATGGGCAAGCAGAAGTCACGGACAGAGCTATACTCCGTGGACTGAAAGTCCGCCTAGCCCGGGCAAAAGGACTATGGGTAGACGAGTTGCCTAGTGTATTATGGGCCTATCGAACTACCGTCAAGACCACCATAGGTGAAACCCCCTTTAACCTCACCTACGACACAGAGGCAGTAATCCCAGCCGAACTCAAGGTACCTACATTACGCTTGGAGGTGTACGATAAAGAAGCAAATGTTGACGAACTCCGCACCAACCTCGACCTGATAGAAGAGGTACGGGACCTCGCGTATATCCGAACTACAGCCTACCAGCAAAAAGTAGCTCGGTACTATAATAATCGGGTCAGGAAGCGGCACTTCTGTGTCGGCGACCTGGTCCTTCGGAAAGTAATGGTGCCTGAGCCCGGTGTGGGTAAACTTGGACCGAATTGGGAAGGTCCCTATCGAGTAAAATGGGTACTCGGGGAAGGTACGTACAAGCTCGAAACGTCAGAAGGAAAGCAAGTACCTCGAGCTTGGAACATCAACAATCTAAGACAATACTACTTGTGATCATTGAACCAGGGGAGCGGACTGAGAGTCATTCTCAGAAAGCCTAGGAGTGGACTACGAGTCACTCCCAAGGCCTAAGAATTGATGGACTCATCGCTATATAAGTCCCAATCACCTCTTAAACTTTAGGAGTGGACTCCAAGTCGCTCCTAGAGCCTAAGGGCTAAAGTGTCGAACTAACAAAGACCTCGGCACCGCATAAGCCCCAGTCGCCTCTTTGGCATGGGCAAACTTTAGGAGTGGACTCCGAGTCGTTCCCAGAGCCTAAGGGCTAAAGTGTCGAACTAGCAAAGACCTCGGCACCGCATAAGCCTCAGTCGCCTCTTCGGCGTGGGCAAAGCTTAAGAGTGGACTCCAAGTCGCTCCTAGAGCCTAAGGGCTAAAAATACCGAACTGACGGAAACACATAAGACCTTGTTGCCTTGCTACTAGAGCTGAAAGTATAGACAGCTCGGGCATAAACCCTACAATGTCTATACCACCTCAACGGCAATCGTAGTCCAGGTCCGTCAGAGGACCAATGCTTAAACAAGTGGCTCATATACAAACAACTCGAAGTGACAAACACTCAGAAAAATTTCGCCGTGGTTATCCTCACTCGTTACCAAGCCTGGTGGCCTGATAGTTCGGGGTGACTCGCATAGATTGGAGTGGTGATTCGTACTTCGGTTACCCTCGCTTGTTGCCAGCTCGGTAGCTCGATGACTCAGGTAACCTATACATGTGTCATCTAGATCGAAAAAGAATCCTTTGAAACAATATTCTTTCATTAACAAAAAGCTCTAAGTACAAGAGTTTTTACTAAAACCCGAGCTCAGCAGCTTGGGAGAGTACATCCACAGTTCAAAAAAAAAAAAAAGAGATAGAGCAAGGAGCCATCATGCGGAAGGATCCACCACTTCAACCTCGTTATCACTCTCCTCTTCTAACGAGTCGGGCTCCTCGTTTGTTGCATCAACTGCCTCTGGAGCCAAGCCCTTCATCGTGATAGCACCGAGGTCAAGATCAGGGAACTCCTGCCGAACCAAAATTCTGTAGAGCTTGAACCCAGAGTGGTAGGAGCTCGTGCTATACTCAACCTGAGGATCGTGGAATTCCGAGGACTCCTTAAAGCGATCAACGGCCTTGGGCCTCTCTTCTGACTGCGCCTCCTCAACAGCGACATCAAAGACCCGAGCCCGCTCTTGGACCGTGGCCTCGAGGCTTTGGATTTTTCGTTGAAGCTGTGCTCTCTCCTTGGCCATCTTCGCGGATAGCTCCTCTTCCCTCGCAGTCATGGCAGAAATCAGCTCCCTAAGCCTAGCGTTCTCCTCAGTCAGCGAAGAGATTCGCCCCTCTTGGTCCTGGATCAACAACCTCTAGCTTTCACTCCCCTTTTTTGCTTGATGCACTTCACCTCAGGCCAAGTTCAGCTCGCGATGGAGCTTCTGCGTCTCTACCTTAGCATCCTGAGCCTACTTCGAGTGAGTCGCAGATTGGCACGCCAACGCATGAAGGGCGGAGTTCACTTGTTAAAAGAAAATTGAGGTAAAAAAAAGAACGGGGCCAAAGGCAGAATGCTTACCACCATGCAGTGAGTACCGGCTAGCCCCAGAAGCTGCCTCGGAAGTATCTCCGACCACCGCGTGACCTCATTCGGGAAGATCACATTCTGGATTTTTCGCACCGCGAGCACGTGGTTCGTGATGCTCTCCTCTCCCACAGCTGGAGCGAGCTCTGACTCAGTAGCAGGACCTCTGAAGCTGGTGTGGGTGCATCCTCCGACTCCTGAGGATGGGCCTCCTTGTCACCGCCCTCTATTATTTCCACCTCGGAGTCTGCAGGTTGGGCCTCCTCTGTGGGGAGCTCAGTAGAGATTGGCTCCGTGACCTGGGCTTCGGGTGCCCTAGACAACGAGGCCTCATCCAGACGCGGCCTCTTCGCCGCCCTCTTTTTCCTCTTTCGGGAACTCATCAGGAGGCTTCGTGCATCGACCTCTAGCATTGTAACTACAAAAGGCAAAAATAAGGTTAGCACGAGCTATCAAAACCTTAAAAAGGAAAAACCCAAAGCAACCTACCAGGACTTAAGCCGGCCTGCACGAGCTTATCTTCGACAAGGTAGTCCGCGCAGATAAGGCCGAGCTCTGCCCAGGACTGAAGCGCCTCCCTCGTCTTCAGGTCTAGCCTAACACTAGAATCCTGAATGGCAGCCCTCCAGTGGGTTGGAAAAGGCCACTCCTCGGGGTTGCGGACCACGAAGTAGTCCCGTTTCCAGGCCGGGATCTTATTGGGTAGCCTGTGAAGAAGCTTGTAGCCCGGGCGGGGGGACAGATAGTAAGACTGCCTGTGCGCGGGGGCACCGCAGGAAGCATTTTTTATAGACAAAATTGAAGAGAAGATTTCGAGGGTGAGAGGAAGACAATACTCGTGGAAAAGCGAAATAGTCCCTACTACGTTACAGACAGAGTTCGGGTATAATTGATGTATGGTAACACTAAAGTGTTTCAGGACCTCTACGACCAACGGGTGCAAGGGAAGACGAAGGCCAGCCACGAGCTGCTCCTCAAAAATCACGATCTCGTTGTGATCGTGCTCCCAAGGAAAAATGCCCCCGGGGAGACTATAGGAAAGCTCCCTTGGGAGGTTGTACCGAAGTACCAGAGCCCGAAGCCTGTCCGGGGTCATTGAGGAAGGACCAAAGTTGTCTGGCACCCAACCTTGATGAGAAGCGGATGCCAGGTTACTAGAGGCCTCTCGAGCCTCCGGGGGAAACTGCCCCTCGGGAAGACCGTGGGCTACCCCTGAGCCCGAAGTAGTCTCGTCTCGGCTACCGACCCGGGCTGAAGTACCCACCTCAACCTCATCTAAAAAGCTATCAAAACTAGAAGACATAACTGAACCGAATTGAAAGGAAGCAAAGGGACTCACCAAAGAAACACGACCGAATTGGAGAAAAGACGCGAACTAGGAAGACCCGAGCTAACGGAGCTAGAGCGCGACCTCAAGTCGAAGGTAAGACAACTTTGATGTAAAAATGAGTCTAAGGACCCCCTAGTTATAGCCACTGTACTGAAGAAGCAATGGTCCAGATCAAAGCAATCTGACGACACAAGAAAACTGGTGCACGACCCTCGAGACTAAAGACAGTTTAGCGTGCTTTTTGGCGTCCGCGGGACTTATAGTTCATGTGACGTCCACGTGTAAGCCACACGTAATCTGACGGGGCGGCCTGAACTCCGAGCCAAATCCACTTGTAACATCATGAACTCCCCGCACCAGGTCAAGACCCCTAGCTTAGGGATTGGGGGGCAATTGATAAGGGGTGATTTGGCTCGACCTCATAATTGGGTGACATGTGTACATGACTCGACATAAATGACAGCTCGACATGAGCAGATCGACACGTGGACATGGCTCAACGCAGGTGACAACTCAACAAGTATCAGCTCACTACAGAACGAGCTCGAGTACACTAATGTCCCGAGCTGAAGGTACTTCGGCTCGAGTCCATCCCAGTTCGCGAACTAAAACAACAACACCAAGTTCTTAGCAGTCTGAACCCAAGCAAGTGGGACACCTCGAAGACGACTTGCCTCGGGCAGAATCACCTCGGCACGCCACTAGCGGCTCGTCATGAATAGCTCGCCACCAAGCAGCTCGCTACAAGGTTGCTCATAGGTAGCCCGACGTCTCGCGAGAAGCTTCCTGCCTGACAGGACCGTATCTGCCAACCCTGAAGACTGCACCCACGTCCCTTGCCTAGCGGCGCAGTATCTGCCAACTCTGAGGACTGCACTCATGTCTCTTGCCTGGCGGCGGCATGCCTGCCAAACCCCGGAGGTTGTCTCCTACCTGGCGGGACTGTACCCTACAACGGTCGCATTAGCCCACCTACTCCCCAGTTCTAACGATAACAACCAGTCACTCCGAAACGTTACCTGACAACAGATCGCCGCGGTAGAAATTCGGGATCAATCCCACCAAACCTGTCAAGATGCCAGTATATAAAGACTTCAACCCCCGAGGGGCTAAGGTATCGCATATTCACCACTCTCTATCTTTCTCATCTTCTTGCAAACTCATTCTCTTCCAGTTCGTACCGAGTATTAACTTAAGCATCGAAGTGTTCTCGCCGGGTGAGCAACCCCGGGTTCCTTCATCTCTCTTCACGCAGGTATCTCTTGCCCGTTGCCAGGTAGGAGCTCAGTCACCTTCGACTAGGAGTGGCCGGATTGTGCATCATCAATATATAAGATAAGAAGTTGCTATTCCTAGTCCACCTAGAGGTGTCCATAGAGTGCCTAACTGCGTGTGCTCTAAGCATCGTCGGGTTTGTGTCCAAGACATTTTAACCGATCAATAAGTGGATCCAAATCAGAACTTGGTATATTAGAGTTTACCCGGATCCGGCAAGTTTAATCCCCCGGATTCCACATTCAGAACTTGGTATATAAGTCAATAACTAGCTTCGCGCTTAAAAGCCACGCTGAACGTTTCTCCCCGTTTCAACCCTTGTCTGTCGTTGTAATTTTCGTCTCCCCATCCCATCGTCTCCAATCCCTTCACTATCCCAACTTCTCTCCGCATGAAAGACAACCAGAAGATGAAGACGGGAAGTAACCCCAACCCCAAGGGCTCTTCCCACAAGCCATCTTCTTCGTCGTCTAATCGGAAGTCCAGGTGGGAATCCGGCAACAATCCTAATTCCGATCGCAATTCTGGTGCTGCCGGTGACTCCAAACCATCAAAACCCACCTCAGGTCCCAAAGAGGACGCCAAAACTGGCCCGTCGAAGCCCGCTGTCGACCAGATCCCTTCGTCGGGTCCCGGTCCCTTTCCGCCGTCAGGGCCCGCTGCCGGAGCTCTCTTGCCGTTTCCGGACCTCGCTGGCATCGGTCCGCCGCCGCCACCCGCTTATGGGTTTCACATGCTTGAGCGGCGAACGATTGTCTTGGCTGATGGGAGCGTTCGGTCTTACTTCGCCTTACCACCAGATTATCAGGACTTCCCAACTCCCATACCGCGGTTGGATATTGCTGATAGGTTTTTACCCTTAGGGCCTGGCGGTCATGGACCTGAGCCTGGGGGATTAGGGTTCGGTTTTGATAAGCATTTTCCCCTAGGTGGGTCGTTGAGCCCTGATGGGTTCCGTCGCGATCGCAATGAGCTATACGGGCGTGGCGGGCAGCATGATTACTGGAATCACCTTGGACTTGATGGCCGTGGGCCGCCACCGCTGGAAGGCTCGTTGAAAAGGAAGTACGGAGATGAGGATGAGAGGGATGAACTTGCGCGTCAACGACAACAGCTGTTCCGGTACGGGAACCCCAATTGTTTTCCTTCTGGTTCTGGTGAGCGGGCCGATTACTTGGCTGGAACAAGTAGTCCATTCCGTCGGGATGCACCAAACTCTGCCAGAGGAATGGATGATTTAAGGTCTTCAAAGCAAATGAGGGTTGGCGGAGATTATGACGATATACCTTCCCGGCGTGGTGCGCCGGCTGATGATGTGGGTTTGAAGCATCCTGAGGTGGACCCACATGCTCTAAAGAAAGCCTTTCTTCGGTTTGCAAAATCGCTTAACGAGAATGCTTCTCAGAGGAAGAATTATTTGGAGGACGGGAAACAAGGGCCACTCCAGTGCCTTGCCTGTGGCAGGTTTGACAAAATTGGGTTGAATATGCATATCTGTTTCATTTTTTGCTTTACTTTCTGTTTAGCATGTTGCTAACTACTGATCATTCATGGTCGGGATGTTCTAGATCTCTTAGCCGCTTTAATTAAAATGCCAAAGTTTAGAATTTTACAAGGGGTATGGGGATGCATAGAGATTGAGATTTTGGTGGCAAGTGGCATGGGTATTTCGACCATTTTTACATCAGAGTAGAAAATTTTTTGGTTGCAAGTTGAAGGGGCTAGAAGGGCTAGGGGTAGACCAAAAAGGAGAAAAGGACATAGGTTGAAGTAGTAAAAAATGATTTAAGAGCTTATAATCTAACAATGGATATGACACCTAACAGAACGAAAAGAAAAAACAGGATTCGTGTAGCTGACTGGTGACCTCATTTAGTTTGGATAAGGCTTAGATGATGATGATGATGATTATAAAATCTTTTGGGTTTTCCGTTATATATGATATGAGTATTTCAAGTAGTCGTCCGATTTATGTTTCTATATTTTGCCCTCTGGTTTGCATAGTTGATATATACTAAGCCTTCCTTGAGGATGCAAGTCATAATGTTGGTCTTCTGTATGCACTAGAAGTTTGTAGAATCATGAATTCATGATAGAGTTTTACAATGAGTTGACATAGTTGAGTTTGAAGCGTAGAAATAAATCCAAGATTGTTGCTATCATTGGTTGGGAGTTGTCATCTTAAGTGTTGATTTACTGAAATTGTTTCGGTATTGTTTTATGGAGAGTCGACTATGTTATGTTCTTGCTATTAAGTGACTATGGACCAAATTTGCAGGTAAAGAAAAGTTTGAGTAGGGTATGACAATAAACTAATCAATTTGGAAATTGGGTTGTCTATGTACATAAGCATTTCCAGTTTGATGGTCTTTATAATTACTGAATAATGGAATTGTTTTTTGAAATATCATTAAACAAAATCTTATTTCAGTTATTCTGTGTCAACTATGGACGTCCTCTTTTGCCATACCATATTATCAAGAACTGTATTGGCTGAATGGCTGTTAAACTACAAGTCTTCCTATCTTGTCTTAGAACTTAACTGTATGTACTTTTTTAGTAACTACTGTTTTATTATAATTTTAAAGAATGAAATATGTATACTGATGCTGGGCAGTCTCCTTTGGCTAGATTCTACCACTCACCCTACTTTTCTTTTTTTTCTTATACAATTCTTTTACATTACATATTCCCCATCAGCATCAAAATCGGTTTACTTTGTTGACCCCTTGTTTTTCTGCAGCACCAATCAACCCATTGGCTGATCTGTGTCCAACAGCCCAACTGATACAAATCTCCGTGTCCCTTTCTATCCCTCTTATCTCCCTCATAATGTTCCCATATTTCCATGGGACTAGATGGTGAGATACCGCTCACCTCGGAAACCCCTTCGAGGGTGGCTTAACCTCCTGAAACAGAAAATGGGGAGGAAGAAGAGAAGGGAAGGTAGGAAGAGAGGGATGCAGTGAAAGAGAAAAACAGGGGATACTCATTCATTCCTTCTTTAAAAGAGTAGGGCCTTATATATCTGG